TTTATATTATTTCGGATTATATTGAACTATAATATGGTATAAATATACGATTTTTAAGTTTTAGCGTATTTATATATAGATTGAAGAATTTTTTAATATTATTTAATTTAATATTAATAAACGATATCACTATATGGTCGTTGACTATTGACAGTTAACGGTCAACGATCAACGACTGCCCCAGTTGAATTGAAGTCTTGGATTCGCCCCTGTTTGTACGCACAAATTGGGTTAAGGTTCTTTGTGGTATTGTTGAAGATTTTTGATACATGTTAATAAATTTTATTCTCTTGTTGATTTTATTGTAATTAATATTTGACCCCTCTATGATCCTAAAAACATATTATTGGCAATGTAGGAATGAAGTCATAGAGTTATTTTTCAATCATGCTACAGTGTCATTTTTGTTGATTGATAGGTTAACAAAATGTCATGTGTCAGTTTATCATTGGACTATTTTAAACACTATTATCGTTTCCATCCAATCATTTTCATCCAACTTTAAATCTATCAAAGATGTTAAAATTCATTTGGTAAAGTAGCTTAATTACTTTTTCTTCTCTCTCTCTCTCTCTCTCTCTCTCTCTCTCTCTTAATTCGTTTAATTTCTTTGTTCTATTTTCTTAAAAAGGATCTCGATAAAAATCTTCAAGTCAGCCCATGTTAAATGTTTAAAGCTCAGCAGACATCATCTCCTAAATTCCCACTGAAAGCCATTATGAAGAAAGTCCATCCACCTACGATGACATTTATTTATACGAGACATTTTAAAAAGCATAAACATGATCCCTGCAAAAACAAAATAAGCATTAGAAAAGAAAAGGTCAGTTTTCATATAACAAATTAGATTATATTTTCTCTTGTGGTAGGTGGGCTGGTTTCTTGAACATGAGGAAAGCAATGTGGATCTCGAGTTCTCGAATTTTCCAACTAACACACTTGCTATTTTGGGATTGAACCCACTATATGCATATTCGTCAAGGAATTTTGGGGCAACAATGATATGGTGATAGAATTTTTTGATATAATGGATGATCGACACTCATATTAGTGAGGGCCTACTTTTTTCTTTTTTCTTTTTTAACTTTTTTATTCACGCGGGGTCCACACACTGTGAGAGAATGTCAACTATTATGTCAAAAAAATTCTGACAAAATAGTTTAATTGTTTTCGAAGTCTTAGGCAAAATTGTCAATGGGCCTTTCTAAGAACAATAATAATAATAATAATAATAATAATAATAATAATAATAATAATAATAATAATAATAAGAGCAAATAATCATTGACAAAAAAAATATGCCAGTGATCATCAACGGTTGATTCTCATTAAAATCAATATCCGTTGGAGAAGAGTGGACTCTCATTCCAAAATTGTTTCTTTAGGGATGGGTTCAAGTTTCTTCGTTTACTCCAACTTTTTTTCCTTTGTGTGCGTGCGCGCGAGCATCATGCTGTTGTTCCTATATCTATAAAAAAATTCTTTCTAATTTCGATAGGCAAAAGAATTTTCAAAAAAGACAGAATAAGAATGAAAAAAATTTAAGACACTAGCGAGAGCCATAAGAACAAGCTCATCTTCGAGCTCGCTTCGATTCTAATGAATGGATGTCTATCAAAGTGAGGTCCTCCCAGTTCCATTTTCGAAGGAGAGAGGTGAAAGCTACTGTAAGTTGTTATAGTAGCCAGCATAAAAGCATTGGTAGGGCAGGCTCACTATGGCAATCTAAATCACCCCCTATCTTGGAGTTTTGTGTGTGTGTGTGTGTGTCTATATATATATATATAACACACTACTACTCGAGAATATTTGGTCAAGGGAGAAAAACCAGTTAAGATATCTTCAAAAAGCTAAAAAATTCAACTACATGACTCAAAATAGTAGAAACTAAAAACTAAGAAAAGAGGAGAAAATTAAAACATCAAATTACAAATTGAAAAGAAATGATTTTTCTTAATAAATCTTATTTGATTCATAACTGAGACATGCTAGAGCCTATAATTTAACTATAGCCAATACTTAAAATTTTCCACCTTTAAAACGAACTAACATAAAAACTAAGTAGATACATAACTAGGTAGCATTAAGATTCTATTGTTCGCGTTGAACTCACTCTTTTTGAGTAAAAAAAAAAAAAAAAAGAAAAAGGAAAAAATTATATATTTCAAAAGAGAACTATGAACTCGAGATAACTGAAAAGATGTACCACATCTCAAGCTATCAAACTCAATTGTTACACGTCATAAAAAATTAAAAAATAATTGAAGTTTGTAAATAATGCAAGAAAATAAAACCCAAATTACAAATAATGAATACTTGGATTCATCAACTTACAGTACACTCAACCCTAACTTAAATTTTTTGATTCATAGAAATCCCAAATTGTGAATATTATCATGTACCAACCATTGAAATGTAACAATCTGATGTGAGACAAAAAAAAAAAAAAAAAAAAAAAAAAAGGGGAGTCAATTTTTTTTTTTTAGGATTAGAGTCCGCAGTTTTATACAAGTTACTACTAAAATTAGAGTTTTTAATTTTTGTATTTTTCTTTACCCAGCCTATATATTGTAAAAAATATATAAAAATTAGTTTTATTCTAGTATCCATGGTTCTAGTACAAAAATCAAGAACAGGCTTGAACCCAATCGATTCTTGATTTCAATTTCGATTCGATTTCGATCAGAGAGGTTTGGTTCCAACTAAAAAACCCAGATCTAATGAGCTCTATGTTTTACACTTGAAATAATTAATTAACTACAATCATGCTTTGTGTAAAATCTTTTTAAAATATTGTTGAAAACGTGTCACATTGCATGTTATCATTGGACAATTTAACAACAAATCTTTTCAATTGACACTTTTTTGACAGATACAACATTGACAAACATTATTATACAAATGGCATTGTCCAAATAAAAGTTAAAAGAATTGGGTAAACGAATTGAAAATGAGTAGGAATTTAGATTGCAAGTAGCAAGTTAATTAAACAATGATAAAATGAAAATAAATTCCCTCCATTTTTAATCAATCAATTAAACATCATTCTGACTTCCTTTAATTGTTTTCGTTACATTTATTTTTAATTTTAACTAAATAACAAATCAATTTGTGTGTTACTAGACAATTAATCAAGTTAGAATTGAATCAATTGAAGTATACGTACTTCAATCCTTGTGGGCACTATATATTTTTCCCTATTTTACTGTACAACAAGATCAACTTGCGGTGTTGTACCGTAGCAAAGAATTTAGATTTAAACAAAACTATTTACAGCGACATTGTTGGTGATCATCGACACCTTTGTTAATGATGTTGTTGGAAATCAGTGACGGGAAGCTTTCTGTGCTACTCATAATTTTTTTCCCAGTATTTTTATTTTTTATAAGATACTGATAAGTACAATAGAATGTCTTTCCTTTTTTTCCTTTTTTTTTTAATAATATTATCGACTTACAAGTTATTTTTTAAAATTTTGTTTGTTGTCCCAACAGAGTTTTCAGTCATAATTTTATATTTTATTACTTTATTTATTTCTTGATGAAGTATTTATTAATAAATCAAATTTGTTAATTATTTATATTTTTAATTTTACTAACTAAAATCCGTTATTAACATTTTATTATATATATATATATATATATAAGGGGACCTGATGCTTTAAAATTTATATTGTTAGTTCAGCTTGTTACCAGTTTAATTTGATTAGAAATTGTTTAATTTTAGTGGATATTTGATTTGAAATTCAATCATAATTATTTGAAATGTTTTTGCTATATATTAAAAGGAAGAGAAATGTTATTTGTACCCGACATGTCAAACGTAGAGTTACCTAAAGTGAGTGAGGGGATCGGGCCCCACACATTTATTGTGCGTGAGGCTTCTAAACCCATGTGAGTCCTGTAACAAAACTCTTAAAGGAATTTACTTTATATTATATTGAATCCACCTCGTTGGGTAGTTGGTGAGCACGGTAAAATTGTAAATTATAATTGTAAAAATGATGTCATTATAAGTAGAAAATTCGTAGAGAGCAATTGTGTAAGGTCGTGACAATTTAATGATATTTGTTTTATTGACATATTACTTTGTTTGATTGTAAGCAAGAAGGTAAAAATGATAAAAGAACAAAATGTTTGAAATATGACGTTTGACTACGAGACAAATGATATGGTTAGCCCAACGGATCTGAGCACATGCAGGTGCAAATCCCAATGACGTGTACCCATAAATTTATCTCATTATTACTAGCTAATTTAATTTGTAATTTAAATTATTAGGTATGTTTAAATTTTTTTTATTCGATGTTAGTATCATCAATAACATACATGCTTCATGTTAGAATGAACAAAATCGATAAAGGCTTTTTTATGAAACACTATAATGATCAAATTAGTAAAGTATTCAAAGAAAAATTTACGAGTAGGGTGGACTTTCCTTCTAGTATTCATGTGTGAGGTTGACCCTAATTATTTATGAGAATTCAATATTAGAGCATGTTATATTATAACGATGCAATAATTGGTTGAAGCAATTGTCGCTTTTTTAATTGTTAGCGTTTGTATCTTAGAAAATTTATTGATATTAAACTTGGGAACCATGCTAGATGAATCACGCAAGTGACCGCGCAGTTGACATAATATACACATAAGAGGGGGTAAATATTTTTTTACTCACGCGGGACTCATGCCTCGGTTGTGAGTGTGTCATCCATGGGGTAACCGGTGCGGGTCATTTAGCATTTTTCTAAACTTGGATATGCAAGATCTGAATGGATGTCCAAAGTCTCATTTAAGATAGCTTGTCTAATAGCTAGATTTTTAAAATGGAGGTGTCATATGACCAACATAATTCAATTATGAATGGTAATATTTAGATCAATTGGTATGAGATTATTTTGTTCGTGAGAAGATGTCGAGCTTACCGATGCTAGGACACGCCACTGGTATGCAATAACACAACTTGGCTATGAATCAATCGGTATATTATGACATTACCTATTTAAAAGAATACCTTAAGTTAATTGGATAGGTCTAACACAATGAAAATGACCTTTGTAGAAGGCCTTAAGTTGGTTGGACGGGTCTAACACATTAAGAATGACTTCACTACTTGGAAGAGTCAACCCAACAAAGTAAGACATATCAAGTGACCAAATACTGAGAAGAAAATGCCAAATACCACTAATCCTTAGTTAAAGAATATTGAAAAGGGGTCAATCCATCAAGTGACCAAATATATGGGCGTGGCATTTGATGAAATCCTATTCTGCTGATCCATGTTAATTTCCCTGAGGCTAATGTAGGGGATCCCCATCTCATCTTTCCTGGTGGGAGTCAAAGTTCCGGCGAGTGGACTGGAGGACGGCCGGCTGCATGTCCGGTAAGGGGTGGACGACCTACTTCTACTTTCAGTGATGTAAACCGGCCCGGATATTGATCCTATGCATGCACGCCCACGGTGGACTCCGCCGTGAAGATCAAGATCCTTGGTGGCGCCGCCGCCGTGCGCCGCTCTCTTGAAGAAGAGGAGGGCGTTTTTCCACCACCGCTTCTTGCTCTTTTTGATCTTCTTGGAGGAATCATCCTTGGAAATGGGCTTTTGAAGCTTGAAATGAAGTTTGTCTATGGATCTTGAACTCTCCCTCTTGTTGTACTTCCTTGCTTCTTCCAAAACCTTAATTTTTACAATAAATAAATAAAAAAAACAAAATTATTGGTTAATCAATAAGAGCATTCTTATACTAAAAAGTAAAACAACACACGTAAATTTGTGAATCAATGCGAGAAATACATATACTGAAATACATGGTATTAGACACGATTGAACTGTACAACAAACAGGACGTAAAGAAATTGTTAACGTTTAACTAAAGTACCTGAAAATAATCAATTTGAGGGTCAAAGCCATAGTTAGTAAAATGACGAGGTTCTTGAACAGGAAAGATGGGTGAATATAAATTTGACATTGATTTCTTGCTAAAACTCTAAAGTTTTTGCTGTGCAGATTGTGTATTTCACTTTCGCAGAGGATAAAGGATGAAGGGACGCAGATGGAGCTTTTGTTTGAGTAGGTAGGAGCGTGGGTTAAATGGGGGCAATAGCCGTTGGCATTTGGGAATCCTACTAAATGCATTCACATTTTATTGGACCCCCCATAGTACACAAACTTGAAACTTGTCTCCTTTATCAAAATAAATTTGAATATTATTTATTTTTTGTTTAAATAAATAATTAATAGAATTGAGAAAAATAATAAACATAAAAGAAAATAAGAAAAAGGTAGGAGAAGAAGAGACAAATATTAGGAACCTTTTTGAACTGCATTCTTTCAAAAAAAAAATTTAAACAATGATTTGACATTATTTTAACCATACATTCTTCAATAAAATAATATTACAAACAAATCCAAAACCTTTTTTTTTTATTTTTTAACCACAAATTTTCCATCAATCTACTATTCCAAAATAATTTTTTTTCAAAATAATGTGGACAAACACACACTAGATTTTGTTGACTCACTTTGTGACAACAATCTCTACATCTAGGCGAATCTCTTCACAATTATCGACTTTTTTCTTGCCACGTTAATTGTATATAATACCAAACACGTTATATTGCTAAGGGACTTTTATTAATATTAGTCAAAATTGAATGTGCATTACATGTTATTCTAAAATACTTTATAAGTGATGTAAAAATAATATTTGATACCAATTTGTTGAAGGATTTGATGAGTTTTGGACGAATTAAAGAAAATAAAATTTATCATAGAAATTTAAAAGAAAAAAATTGTACTATCAAAACTCAATTTCTATGATTCAAATTTTTTGTAATGATGAAATACTATAAATTAGCAATCTTTTTATATTACATTTGACACTAAAAAATTAATTGTTAATACATAAATTTGAACACCCATTAGAATTTTTAAATACATGAATATGAATAAATTCATCTATAATAACTCTAGATTCATATAATTCAAGATTCATCGAGTGAAAATTCTAGATTAATGTTAATGTTAATTAATTGAGGATTAATAATACAAATCTCATAAATGACAATAATTTTGTAGCATTTATTATATATAGGAAAAAGAAAAGTAAGGTATTATTGAAATAATTGAATTATAGGGAGTTAAAATTATCCAAAAAATGATTCTCCCTCGATGTGATATTTTAATAGATTATAGATTATCTAATTTTATTTTTAATTTATTGACAACCTTTTTAATGTGAAACATTACTTCAAGAATAATTATATTCACACGATTATTTTTATTACTTGCAATTGTCAGATAAAAATTTCGGAGAATAAAAAGATAGCTAAATACATTTGGCACGTAATTTGTTACATAATATTGTGCAAATGGTGTGATTTCTTATTTCTAATTATGAATTTTGGTCCCATTTAACTATTGTCAATGACAATTCTTAATTTTTTTTAGCAAAATTTGTTTCTATTACCATTCTGTAAAATTTAGTATGTGAAGAGTAAATATAAAAAATAGTACGTATGAGGTGTAAATACACCCTAAACAGAAGGTACATTTTCTAAATTTTTCTTATTTTCTCAATGGTAGTAATAACTGGATTGGTTTAATAAGTTCATGTCATAAAATCAAAATCAGTTATGCAAAAATGCAAACACGTTAAAAATAGAAACAATTAAATCATCGAAGAGAACCTGATATTTAGCAACAAAAACTTCATTGATTCAACCTGAAAACGGTTCGATTCACCCCCAAAAAAAAAAAAAAAAAGAAAAAAAAAAAAGACGACAGTTTACTTTAAAAGCTTATTTTAGTCCCTTGTTTGTTTTCAATTTTTCTGCCTAATTTAAATCCATTTTCGGACCGTTGCTCCACTGTCAGTTGTGATTTTTGACTTCTTCTCAACACAATGGGTCCAATGTACCAGCAAAAAAGGGTAAAAAAATATATATATACATTATTTTCTCCGAACAATTGGAAACAAATAGGGGGTTAATTTGATTTACCACAATTTCGACTCAACCCCGTTGGCCCATGATTTTTTTTTCTATTTTTTTGGGATATGTATTTTAAAACATTGAGTTTCTTCATTAAAAAGGGAGGAGTAACCTTGGACATCTACATTACATGATATATAATTACTAAAACTAAACATTTTAACTAATTCGAGTTTTTATATACGATTGTGCTACCTGCACAGCCTTTTTTGCACAGAGTCTGTACAGGTGCACACAGATGGGGGTGGATCCCACACATGAGATTCACATGAGGGGTCCACTCCCATGTGAGAGCCCCTGTAAAAGCTCTGTGCAAAAGGGCCTGTGCAGGAGCCTTTTTTCTTTTGGACTATGTTAGATGTACTTAATTTTTTTTACATAATGTTTTACATACACTTACAATAGAGGTGTGGGGACCACATGTTGGGATTATTTTATTCACATAGGGTTCACGTGCTTGTGAAAGTAGGTGAACCATTTGGTACTTTGAATTATAGAGGGTGTTTGACATCCATTCTTAAGAAAAAATGAATTTTAGAATAGTAAATTGATGGATAATGTGTGGTTGAAAATTTTTTGATTTAGATATAATATTATTTTAATGAAAAATGTGTAATTAAAAAGAAGAGAGAGAAAAATATATTTTTACAAAAAAAAAAAAAAAAAAA